GCTCCTCCTTTCCTTACTCCTCCCGGAAGGCTGGCCCGGCTCGCCGTGCGCCTGGCGCTCGCAGGGAGGGGGAGGCAGGAGCCCGGGCCATATGTCGGAGGCGGTGGATGCCGCAGAGGCCTGCTGGGCAGGGAGGGCGGCAGGGAGGGGGCTGGTTAAATTTAACCGGGGATCTGTGTGTCAGGGGAAATGACGCCGACACGGAAGTGACATTAAAGCAAGGGCTTGGAGGAGGTGAGGGAGGAAGACATGAAGGCGGTGCCCTGGCTGGTGTGGCTCAGTGGATAGAGCATTGGTCTGGGGACTGAAGGGTTCTTGGTTTGAGTCCGGTCAAGGGCAGATGCCCACGGTGTGGGCTTGATCCCCAGTAGGGGGCGGCAGGAGACAGGCGATCAATGATTCTCTCTCATCATTGATGTGTGTGTGTGTGTCTCTCTCTCTCTCTCTCTTTTTAAAAATATATTTTATTGATTTTTTACAGAGAGGAAGGAAGAGATATAGAGTACTAGAAATGTCGATGAGAGAGAAACATCGACCAGCTGCCTCTTGCAACCCCCTACTGGGGATGTACCCGCAACCAATGTATTGTACATGCCCCTGACCGGAATCGAACCTGGGACCTTTCAGTCCGCAGAGCGACGCTCTACCACTGAGCCAAACCGCTTTCGGCTGATGTGTCTCTCTTTCTCCCTCTCCCTTCCTCTCTGAAATCAATAAAAAGATTATTTTAAAAAAAGCCAGGGTAGGGGGCGGTGAGAGGAAGATGCTCCAGGAGCGGGAGCAGCAGGCAGAGGCCCTGAGGGAGGGAGGAGCCAGGAAACCAGGCAGAGGACGGGCCCTGGGGCAGGGGGTCTTGGGGTGGGGCCCCGGGGCTGTGAGGCTCTTCCCCCGGGGTCTGGAGACGAGGCTGAGACCTCCTGAGCGATATTACAGCAGCGCCTCTGGGGGCAGCGCTGAGTGCGGACTGGGCGACGAGGAGGCGCTGAGACAGAGGACCAGGTGGGGCAGCTGCAAAGGCGCAGGCTGGCCGGGCGGGTAGCAGTGGAGTGTGGGGAGGGTTGGGATCTGGTGCATTTTGGAGGTAGAAGCAGCAGGATTGGTTTAAGGGTTCGCAGGGGTGTGAGAGACAAAGGTGGTGGCTGAGCCCCCGGAAGAGGGGAGAAGTCTGGGGAGCCGAGGAGAAAAGCAGGTTTTGGGGGGGGGGGTGTGACCAGCAGCTGGAGCTGCTGCAGGGCGATGGAGGAGGCAGGGTGTGTGAACTGGTGCCGAGGAGAGGGGTGGCCCTGGATGGACACGTGGGAAGCCAGCTGCCCCTGGCTGCTGCCCTAAGCGGTGAGGCCCCAAGAGAAGGGCAGGCTGGAGTCCAGACCCCAAAAGTAAGGTGACTAGGCGTCCCGCTTTTGGCGGGACAGTCCCGATAAAAATTGGGACTGTCCCGCCAAAAGTGGGACGCCTGGTCACCTTACCCAAAGGTGGGTCTGAGCCCCAGGGTTTCAAGTCGGGGAGGAGTCTGAGGTGGGAGCCTGGTCTCAGGGAGCCACGCGAAAGGAGTGTGTGGAGGAGGAGGGTGTCAGCCAGGACAGATGCTGCTGCTGAGGACTGAGAACTCCCGCTGGGTCTGGCTTCGTGGGGGGCGTCAGTGACCTGAGAGCATGTGGGTGACAGGGAACCCCCAGCCCCGGCTGGAGCAGCTTGCAGAGGGTTTGGAAAAGCACAGACGATGTCTTCTGGCAGTTTGCTGGCAAAGGGAGCAGAAAATAGGGCACTAGCTGAAGGAAAAGGGGGCCAGGAGAGGTGGGGTTTTTTTTAAGAAGCGAAAAAAAAAATCTTAATTGCTTTTCAAAATGTAATTTTTACTCACTTTTGAGGAGGTAATATATTCCCATGATCCCACACATCAAAGACTCCAAATGGTATTTGGTTGAAAATTCTCCCTCTCCCAGCACCCACCCTAGAGACAACCAATGCAATCAGGTGTTTGTGTGATCTGGCAGAGCACGCCTGCGCAGGCACATACACCTGTGCCCACACACACAGACTACGATGTTAATTTTTCTCCCTTTTTATTTTATTATTATTTTTAATATATATTTTATTGATATTTTACAGAGAGGAGGAAGGGAGAGAGATAGAGAGCTAGAAATGTCGATGAGAGAGAAACATCGATCAGCTGCCTCTTGCAACACCCCCTACCGGGAATGTGCCCACAACCAATGTACATGCCCTTGACCGGAATCGAACCTGGGACCTTTCAGTCCGCAGACCGACGCTCTATCCACTGAGCCACACCGGTTTCGGCGATTTTTCTCCCTTTTTGACACAAGTGGTTACATCCCATACACGCTGTTCAGTGCCTGGCTTTGTTAATCCTTAACAATATATTCTGGATATCATTCTATACAATACACAAAGAGCATTGTCATCCTTTTTAAAAATATATATTTTATTGATTTTTTTTACAGAGAAGAAAGGAGAGGGAGAGAGAGTTAGAAACATCAATGTGAGAGAAACATCGACCAGCTGCCTTCTGCACACCCACTACTTGGGATGTGCCCACAACCAAGGTACATGCCCTTGACCGGAATCGAACCTGGGACCCTTCAGTCTGCAGACCGACGCTCTATCCACTGAGCCAAACCGGTTAGGGCTCTCATCCTTTTTGATGGCTTCATATTACTTCATTCTAGGATATACTGTACATATTTTTTACCCGGGGCCGGGGGTCATTTGAGGTCAGTTCTATTATTATCTCCATCTTGCAGAGGCATCTGGGGTGCCGGGAGGTCCATCGGTTTCCACACGGTTGGTCAGCTAGCGCGCTGGCGAGGGACTCCATCCCTACCCACACGTTGGCTCTCCTCCTCCTCCTGGGTTAGTTTTCCCCCGCACTTCTCCTCCCTTCCCCGTCTCAGCGATTAGTCTGCTCTCCTTTGTCCATGCAAATAGCACAGCTACCCGCGCTGCCCAGTGCAGGCACAGGACTGGGCCCGGAGGATGGGGAGGGACGCGACAAAGAAGTCCTCTGCTGGCCAGGACCTGGCCGAGGAGGTCTGTGTGTGTTTGTGAGCCGCCTCCAGGCCCCCATGGAACGATGCGGAGAATTAATAAAGAAGCCGGTCCCTGTTTTTTGCTAACGAGGAGACCAAACGTGCCAGCAAATCCCGGTGACGGTCCTGCGAGCTGAACTCCAGGAAAGAAGCCTGGGAACCCGAGGCACTGAGGTCTGCAGTCCGGCCCCGCCACCCCCAGCCTGGCCTCCTCCAGGTTCCCCTCTCCATGGAAGACCCGCCCCAGCCAGCGGCAGAGCCCTCAGGGATTGGCTCCCCGCTCTGTCCTTCACCTTATGGATGCGTCCAGCCCCTGAGGACCTCTGGACTCTGCCCAAGGTCACTCTCCAGAGCTACCAGCCCTGCCAGGGGCCTTCTCTTATAGGAATCACCCAACAGCTTCCTCCCTGGCCTTCTTGTCTTCAACCTACCCTCTTCCCATCCACTGTCCACCCAGCTGACTGTCACTGTGTCCTTTACCTGTTCTAACCTTCTTTTTTTAATATATAATATATGTGTGTGTGTGTGTACATATATATATTTCAAACATCAATGATAAGAGAATCATTGATTGGCTGCCTCTTGCATGAACCCTACTGGGGATCAAGCCCACAACCTGGGCATGTGCCCTGGATGGAATCAAACCGGCGACCTTTCATTCTGTAGGCTTACACTCCATCCACTGAGCCAAACTGGCGAGGGCTGTTCTAACCTTCTAAGGCTTCTCTTTGCTGCCCTCTGGCTAAAGGGAGTCTAAATTGCAGCTCTGCAACGCATCAGCTCTGTGACCTTAAAGACCAACCCTGTTTCCCTGAAAATAAGACAGTGTCTTATATTATTTTTTGCTCCCAAAGATGCGCTAGGTCTTATTTTCAGGGGTTGTCTTATTTTTCCTTGAAGAAGAATACGGTACACATTTATTGTTAAATGTAAATAAAGGAAATTTATTACCTGTATACAGTATGGTAGTACGGTAGTTGTCAGCACAAACCAGACAAACTGTGAATCCTACAGTATCAAGAATTTACTCATTTATTCAATGACAATCATGTCATCATCTTCTGGAACATCATCATAACAATCCAATTCCTGAATTTCCTGGTGAATTTCTTGTGACTCCATTTCTTTCAGAATCAGTGGACCAAATCTCTCATGTTTAGCCTAGGGGGGCCTTATTTTCAGGGGATGCCTTATATTTCACTCAGAAGGAAATCTGTAAGTAGGTCTTATTTTCGGAGGATGTCTTATTTTCGGGGTACCTAACCTCTCTGCCTTAGCCGAGGCAAAATGAGATCATGACTTAAAGGAGAATGAGAAATGACAGATAAATTAGTAATGATAATAATAACAACCTCCATCTTTTAGACTGTTGTGAGTATTAAAAGTTTATAGTATAATGATAAGGCCCTTGTGATCTGGTCCATGTCTAGGTCTCTAATCTCACCAGTTCTCATCTTCCCTATAAATCAGCTAAAATACTTCTGATTTCCTGAGAGCATCACATTCTCTTTCTCTGTTCTCCCTCCCACCCCTCTGAGCTGAGCTTGGGCCAGGAGCCTAGTTCTTTCCCACTGGATCTCCAACCGCTGGACAGTATGTTGAAAGAATGAATGAATGAGAAAGGTATTGCATTCGTTTTTGTTTTTGTTTGGGGAGAGGGGGAGAGAGAGACAGAGAGATAGAGAGAAAGAAACATCTGTTTGTTATTTCACTTAGTTATGCATTCATTGGTTGATTCTTGTATGAACCCTGACTGGGGATCAAATCACCACCTTGGTGTATTGGGACAACACTCTAACCAACTGAGCTCCCTGTCTGGGGCCTGGGTCTTAATGGATGAATAAATGATTTCCAGGTAGCCCAGCCGGGTGTGGCTCAGCAGTTGAGCATCAATCTAGGAACCAAGAGGTCACAGGTTCAATTCCCGGTCAGGGTACATGCCCAGGTTGTGGGTTCAATCTCCAGTAGGGGGCTGCAGGAGGCAGCTGATTAATGATTCTCTCTCATCATTGATATTTAGGCCTCTCTCTCTTCTCTGAAATTAATAAAAAATATTTTTTAAAAAAGTTTCCCAGGTAAAGAAGTTATGGAAGCATGGCTGTAAAAGAGCTGGTTCCATCTTGGGCCGGAGAACAGAAGGGAGGTGAGGTTGGAGGGGAAGGCTGGCTTCAATCCAGACGCTTCTGTGGGTAAAGGACATTCACGAGGGAAGGCTTTTGTGACAGTGGCAGCTGCTTGCCGGCGAGAATAAGGCTGGGAGCTGGGTAGGAGGCTAAGCTCCAGGGAACAATAAAGAGGCCCAGAACCAGGGCAGTCGCTTGGGGAATAGAACGAAGAGGGAAGATTTAAGAGAAATAATAGATCCTCCTAAACACTTTTACTGAATGCCTCCTAGGAAAGATGGTAGGGGATTGTGGGCATAAAAAGCAGAAGTAGCCAAGACCGGTTTGGCTCAAAGGATAGAGTGTCGGCTTGGGGACTGAAGGGTCCCGGGTTCGATTCCGGTCAAGGGCATGTACCCTGGTTGCGGGCATATCCCCATTAGGACGTGTGCAAGAGGCAGCTGATTGATGACTCTCTCTCATCAATGTTTCTAACTTTCTATCTCTCTCCCTTCCTCTCTATACAAAATCAATAAAATATATTAAAAAAAAAAAAAGCAGAAGTAGCATTTCCCCCTGTCTTCAAGTAGCTCAAATCCTAGGAGAGGCAGACAGACCTGTACATAAAAATACGGATGCAGGGAAGGTCAAATTCAGTACCACTGCAGCCCGTCTCATAGAGAGCGCTCTATATATGTGAAATCAGCAAATTAAAGTAGCTTGCATTTCTGAGTGCGCCTGTCACCTACCCCAAGGCTCTTCGTAAGTTCTCAAGTTTTTATTTGGTTAAAACACACTACAGTATATTTCCACAACCCACCAACTTTAGAGGCAGTATAATGTAGAGCAGGAGTGGGGACCATCTGGCCCTCAGGCCGCAGAAGGACCTCAAAATAATCTGGTCTGGCCCTGCCAAGGCATTAGGAGTGAGGGAGTGAGTTAATTAAATGTTTGACCAAATAGAGCAGGCTGGTTTTATACATATATATATATATATATATATATATATATATATATATATATATAAATCAATCTTTATTGTTCATATTATTACAAAGGTTGTTTTTGTTTTTTTTAACAGAGAGGAAGGAAGAGGGATAGAGAGCTAAAAACTTTGATGTGAGAGAAACATTGATCAGCTGCCTCCTGCACAACCCCTACCAGGAATGTGCCCACAACCAAGGTACATGCCCTTGACAGGAATCGAACCTGGGACCTTTCAGTCTGCAGGCTGACACTCTATCCACTGAGCCAAACCGGTTTCAGCAAGCAGGCTGATTTTTAAGTTGGTACATCTTCTGTATGGACCTGGAATGATGCTATAAATATCCAAATGGTCCTTGACAGAAAAAAGGTTCCCTATGCCTGGAGAGGTTTAGACTTAGCAGCCCCTGATCTTGGACAAGTTACTGAATTCTCTTAGCTTAAGCCCACGTTAGCTATCAGATCAAGATGAGGGAGACGGGAACCTGGGGAGAGAGAAAGTGGAGGTGTGGGCATGAGCAAGAAGATCCATCCGGGCCTCGTGAGCTACCATAAGGGTTTGGACTTTATTATTAGTCCAGTGAGAAGCTCTGAGGTGGTTTTTCGGTCCCAACGTATTACCACTTTTCAATTGAGATGTAATCGACCTCTAATAAATGCAAAGATCTTAAGTGTTAAGTTCCAAGAGTTTCGAGAATTGTATACATCTGTATAACCACCACCTAAAAGAAGACACATCATTTCTTTTTTTCTTTTTCTTTTCTTTTCTGCTTAAAATTTTTTTTTAATTGATTTCAGATAGGAAGGGAGAAGGAGAGATAGAAATATCAATGATGAGAGAGAACCATTAATCGGCTGCCTCCTGCAGGCCCCGTACTGGGGTTCTAGCCCACAACCCTGGCATGTGCTCTTGACAGGACTCGAACCCGAGACCCTTCAGTTCGCAGGCCAACACTATCCACTGAGTCAAAACGGCTAGGGCAAGACATGTCATTTCTATCACCCCAGAAAGGTCCTGCCTGACTCTTTCCAGTCAATTCTCCCCGTGTCCAGAGTTCAGAAGGGTCTAAGCAGTGTACTGTGTGTGCGTTTTGAAGGCATGTGCGTTCTGGCTACAAAGCAGAAGACAGACAGCCTGAGGCCAGCAAGGAGAGTATGGCACTGGCAAGAGCGGATTGGTTGCACTGCGGTCGCCTAGCAACCAGGTAGCGTTGTGTAAGGGTTGATAGCTGAGCGTGGAGAAGGCAGGTAGGCCCCGCCCCAAACCATCTAGGCCCCGCCCCCACCCGCTACGCAAGGGAGCCAGTAGGCAGCGCCGCTCCAGGCCGAGGGGCGGGCACAGGCTTCTTATTGGTCGGCTTTCCGGAAGTCATAGATTCGGAATCTCGTTCGCAGTCGTGCGACCGCCGGCGGCGTGTGCGTGAGTGGTGCGTGGCGGCGGCGCGCGGCGTGTGGCTGGGGGCCGGGGCGGCGCGGCGCGGGCACGTTCGCTTCCCGCGGGACAGTTCCCCTCGCGCTGAGTCTGTGTCCTCCCTTTGCAGAAGCGGAACATGCCCCTGCCGCACAGCCGTCTTGCCGGGCGGAGGGCTGTCTCGGCGGCCGGGACGGGACGCCAGGGGCTCGGGAACCCCCCAGCCCCGGGCCCACGTGCGTGACTGAGCCTCCCGCCCCCAGAGCCCGCGGCGCCGGCCGGCCGCGATGTTCGTCCTGGTGGAGATGGTGGACACCGTGCGGATCCCGCCGTGGCAGTTTGAGAGGAAGCTCAACGACTCCATCGCCGAGGAGCTGAATAAGAAGTTGGCCAACAAGGTACTGGCCGGCGGGGCCGGGAGGCCGAGGCGGGAGGGCCCGCGCTGCCCACCTTAGGACTCGGTTTTCTCACCTGCACCTGGCGGTCCTGATCCCACACGGACGTCAGAGGGAACCAAAAGGAAATCCGGGTTGAGAAAGGCCCTTGTGACTGCGGAGTGCGAGGTTCCACGCTTCCCGAGTGCCTTTGCAATCTTGGGTTCACACTCTGGGCCTCACTCGGGTTCCTTTTGTAAAATTGCAATAATCATTGCTGCCCCAGCCGGTATCGTTCAGGGGTTGAGCATCGACCTATGAACCTGGAGGCCACGGTTCGATTCCCTGCCAGGGCACCTGCCTGGGTTGTGATCTCCATCCCCAGTGTGGGCCGTGCAGGAGGCAGCCAGTCAGTGATTCATCATTGATGTGTCTCTCTCTCTCCCTCTCCCTTCTCTCTGAAATTAATAAAAATGTATTTTTTAAAAAGGAAATAATTTCTGTCCAACCATGCATTGCTTTTGTGAAGATGGATGGTAGGGGGTTTACCCATTAATTCTTTTTAAAAATATTTGTTTTATTGATTTTTTTTTACAGAGAGGAAGGGAGAGGGATAGAGAGCTAGAAACACTGATGAGAGAGAAACATCAACCAGATGCCTCCTGCACACCCCCCACCGGAATGTGCCCGCAACCAAAGTACAAGCCTTTGACCGGATTCGAACCTGGGACCTTTCAGTCCGCAGGCCGACGGTCTATCCACTGAGACAAACCGGTTTGGGCTATCCATTGATTCTTTTTTTTAAATTATTTATTAAAAAATTTTAAATATATTTTATTGATTTTTTACAGAGAGGAAGAGAGAGGGATAGAGAGTTAGAAACATCAATGAGAGAGAAACATCAATCAGCGGCCTCCTGCACACCCCCTACTGGGGATGTGTCCACAACCAAGGTACATGCCCTTGACGGGATTCGAACCTGGGACCTTTCAGTCCGCAGGCCGGCGCTCTATCCACTGAGCCACACCGGTTTCGGCTCTCCATTGATTCTTGCAAAAACATGTACGTGCACCTTCTGTGTGCCGGACCTTCGGGCCTCAGTGCCAGCTCGCCAGAGTCCCTGCCTTGTCTGCAGTGACCTCCCTCCTCAGTTATCCTGTGACATCACTCCTTAGCACTTCAGGTTCTGTTCTTTTTCTCGTTTGTTTGGTGGGTTACTGCTTAGCTTTTCCTCCAGGAGAGCAGGCGCCTTTGTCTGCCTTCTTCCTTCCCGCAGTGTCTCCCCATGTCAGGCAGAGCTGGCACAGAGAGATGCCCTGCAGTTGTCTGCTGATGGAGTGGGTGACAAAACCCGGCTCTGCCCTGCAGTGTGGCGGGAAGAGCGGATGAGGAGGAGGGGATCCCACAGCTGAGTGATGACAGTTGAGGAAGCGGCTGTGACAGACGGGGGCGCACAGCCTGTGGAAGAACGGAATCTATACAGTGAGGGTGACAGCTGCATTGGTAGGCAGAGCAGGAGCTAACAGAGGATCCGTTAGGGGAGGGGCTGCGCCCAGAGGGGGGCTGTGCTGACAGAGGAAACAGCACGTGACCTTGGGAGGGAATACTGTACCTTCAGGCGTGGCGGAGGCTGGGGTGGCTGGGCAGGGGCAAGACTGCCTGGGATCTGGTGTTCAACCGTGGAGCAGCAGGGGGGAGGAGCCTGCAGGGGAGGAGCCTGCAGGTGGGAGGAACCTGCAGGTGGGAGGAGCCTGCGGGGAGGAGCCTGCAGGTGGGAGGAGCCTGCAGGTGGGAGGAGCCTGCGGGGAGGAGCCTGCAGGTGGGAGGAGCCTGCGGGGAGGAGCCTGCAGGGGAGGAGCCTGCGGGGAGGAGCCTGCAGGGGAGGGTTGGCTGGCTTTGGACAGAAAGCAGGAGCTGAGCTCACAGAGGGGTGCAGACCTGGGGAGTGGGTGGTAGCGGCGAGGACTCGGGGAGCCCGTGGTGGGAGCTTCTGGTGACTGTAATGTCGGAAGCCAGGGGCCTGTGGGGTGCAGTGTGATCACGGTGGAGAGAAGGAGTGCAGAGTCCAAGAATGGCATGGAGCCCTTTGAGGCATGGGTCCTTAGGGACCTGTTGGGACAAGTCTCTCTTTCTTTGTTTTCCAAATATGTTTTATTGATTTTTAGAGAGAGATGAAGGGAGAGAGGGAAACATCATTATGAGAGAGAAACACTGATTGTATGCCCCCTAGTTGGGTCCAGCTTGCAACCCAGGCATGTGCCCTGACTGGGAAATGAACCGGTGACCTTTTGGTGCATGGACAGCACGCAACCAACTGAGCCACACTAGCCAGCATGGACAAGTCTCTCCTCTCTCTCTCTCTCTCTCTATATATATATATTATGATAATATATCTATATGAAAGAAATTCTTCTTAAAATCCCTTATTGTTTATGATTATCAGACTTTTTAAAATAAAACATTTTTATTTCATTGATTTCGCCTCCAGGGACACACCCCTCATGGGGATTGAGCCCGCACTGGGCATGTGCCCTTGACTGGAATCGAACCCGGGACTCTTCAGTCCTGAGGCTGACACTTTCCGCTGGGCCAGACTGGCTGAGGCTCTCTATTTGAATCGCTGAGTCATTGCGAGGAGGCCAGACAGCGGTCGGCGGTCTAGCTAAGGGCGCAGAGCTGTGCTGGGCTTGTCTCACCGCGGGGGGTCTGGCCAGGACTCCGAGTTCTCTGAGCTTCTTGCTAATCCTCGAACCGCCCTGCAGGGTCCCTCACTGGGGGTGATGACGCTGGTGGCAGATTAGCAGGTACCACGCAAGCGGCCTGTTGTTGGAGCACCATGGGGTGGGGGTGGGGTGGGGCCTGGGCTGTTCTCTGCCATCTTGGGACCGTGGCCACGTGTCACTCTGCCAGCCTCGATCCCGGGGGCCTTGTCTGTGTGTCTGGGGCTCTGTGAGCAGAACAGAGATTAGTTGTGGTTCTCATGTTCACCGAGCTGAGCTCTAGCGTGGGCTTGGGGACCTTGGGAAGTGTAGGTTTAACCAGGGGTTCTCCTACCACTATCCCCACTAGTAATAACAGTGATCCTTGACTGATTATTACTGTAGCACGTGAGCCGGGTACTGGGTAGGCGTTTCCCGTCCATTCTCCCTATTTAACAACCCTGCCACCTGGTAAGTCCATTTCTGAGCTGGGAAACCGAGGCTCAGAGATGGCCTTGGAGGTCGCACAGCGCGGTGGAGCTGGCATTGAACCTGGATCTGCCGTGTCACCAAAGGCCCTGTTTTTCCCGGCGCTCCGCCCCCTTCTGAGGCTCCTTATCTGGGCGTCTGTAGGCAGGGCCCCAGCTCGTCCCCAGCTGTAAAACGGGGCGATTACACCTGCCTCAGGGAGCTGAGCCTGGGGTCACCGAGTGTGTGTGTACAGGTCGTGTACAACGTGGGACTCTGCATCTGTCTGTTCGACATCACCAAGCTGGAGGACGCCTATGTGTTTCCTGGGGACGGTGCGTCGCACACCAAAGGTGGGCTCCCTCCTCTCCTGGGCCTTGGCCCTCCTGAGGCTCAGCTTTCGGGGGTGGGGGTTCCGGTCTGGGGGTGGGAGACCTGGGGCCTAGTTCTCACTGATAGGTAGAATCGTCTCTCTGGGCCTCAGTTTCCTTCTCTGTAAGAAAATCTCAGGGCCTCGAGGGCCAGCCCTGCTGGAGCATGTGCCTCACCTCCCTCTGAGGAGGATACATCCGTCGCGCGGCAGGCTGCGCAGGGTCCCGGCCACTGTTCCCCTGGGGGCCCCCATGTGTTTTCGGGAGTGGCTCCTCCAGATGGTGCTCCCGGGGCACGGCTCGCACTGTTCTGCCCGCGTCCCCCCCTCCCCGTACGTCCAGTGCCCGGACCGGCCTGGCACAGCTTGGCAGAGGCCCCGGGGGATTTAGTGAGCTGAACTGTTGTGTCATGTGGGGGACAGGGTTTTTCCATCCTGCGGTAAGTGACCTTTGGCCGCCCTCCTTTGCCTTCTCACAGACAGGGAGGGGGTGCCCGCTGCCCCCTCCCCTTCCCCCAGGCCTTCCTGCCCCACGGAGCCGCGAGGGGCAGCTGGCAGGGCTGGGGCTGGTGGGCCGTGCTGTCCCTGGGCAGCTTAGGCTGCTGGTGGCAGAAGCCTGCGTGCAGGGACTGAGCCTGTCTGAGGAAGGCAGTTCCACCACATGGCCCTGCCTGGTGGTCCAGAAAGACTCCGAGTCTCCCCATGGCAGAACAAGGCAGAACAGCTGTGTGACTGACAGGGACCAGCCTCTCTGGGCAGCAGTAGCATGACAGCTGACAGGGTGAGATTGAGATAATCACTCAGTGGCCAGCAGGGGGCAGCCTCATATTCACATTTTAGCCCTGGGTATTCAGGCCAATGGTGGATGCCACCTCCCCCGCTTCAGTGCTTTAAGAGGGGGCAGGAGTGGCAGGGTACTGGCTTCTGCCAGGCCTGGCGTGCAGTCCGGCGAATGGGGCCTCCTAGGACAGGGCCCGAGGACCCCAGAAGCATGCACGCTAGGCAGTTGTCAGCTCTGTCCCCCTTCCTTAATCTCTGGGCACTTGTAGCATGTCAGGTCAGAGCTGTGCCTGGGGCACGCTTCACCAGTGGGGGTGCCTTTGCCAGGTGCTCCTGCCCTTTGAGAATTGAAAGCAGGGCCTGGAGGGAGGTTGGAATTGACTTTGTTGTCATTGGCCCAGAATCGGCTGCCACCAGAGGGACTCAGGTGTGACTCACCTGATGGATTTGGGAGCCAGCTCTCAGACCCAGGGCCGCTGCGGCCGGCCTCTCACGAGGACCAAGCAGGGGACGGCGTGAGGGTCCCTCTGACTCAGCTGCGGGGGCTGGGCCCACAGGGAGCAGCCACGGGGCCTCCGGGTCAGAGTGCTGGCGAACGAGGCCGCCCCGGTTGAAGCAGCCGTCCCTCTCGTGCCTGTGCGTCACTGACGTGCTCTCCTTTCCAGTCCATTTCCGCTACGTGGTGTTCCACCCGTTCCTGGATGAGATTCTGATCGGGACGATCAAAGGCTGCAGCCCCGAGGGAGTGCACGGTAATGGCGCCCTGACTCCTCAGGCGACACCTGGGAGCACAGGAAGGGGGTGGTGGGAGGGCGTGGCTGGGGCATTGGCCAGGCCAGGTGGCCTCCCTTTAGCTTCTGTGCTGGGCCCCGTGGTAGGGGAGCGGTCAGAGACAGAAGCAGAATCTTCCTGGGGAGAGAGAGAATGTTCACGCCGGTGTGAGCTTCACCGAGAGGCGGGACCTCGGCCTCGGGTCCTGGAGCGGGCGGCGGGGACAAGGTGGTCAGCACCCATGGTCCATGTCGTGTGCAGTGGCTGCTCGGGGTGTGTGAGTGGTGTAGGCAGGGGCCCACGTGGGACTCCGAGGCTGGGGGGTCATTTCCAAGGACAGCACCCAGGAAGGGGCTTGCCGCTGGAGTGTCCAGGCCCCTCAGTGCTGAGCTGTCCACGCTAAGCCCTGTCCCACGCTGTCACCCCAGTCTCTCTAGGGTTCTTCGACGACGTCCTCATCCCCCCCGAGTCGCTGCAGCAGCCAGCCAAGTTGTATCCTCCGGGCGTGACAGTGGGCCTGCGCTCGGGCCTCCGGAAGGCAGTGCCTCCGCGGTGTGGCCTGGGTCTTGGGGTCTGAAGCTGCCGGCCTCTGGCCACCCGCCAGCTGTGCTTGTGTTCTGGAAGCACCGACCTGCCTGTGCTTCCCCCCTGACCATGCTGCCCGTGCCTGTGCCTGGGCTGCCAGGCCTGGCTGTGCAGGTTGTATGCTGTAGGCAGGATGCTGCTCACGTCCGGTTCACTTGGCTTACTTAGGTTGTCCCTGCGGGAGTCATCGCAGATAATTTCCCTTGAGAGCTTTGCTCTGGCTGGCTCCTCCCCCTCCTGGGCTGTGGGGGTAGAGCAGCCAGCACTGCAGGGCTTACTGAGGGGCCGGGACTGGGTTGCTACCTCTGCTGCTCTCCCTGTCCCGGCCCTCGCCTGCTGCATCCTCACTGAAGGGACCCCACTGCTCATTGGGAGGGACCCCATCCTGTCATGCCTGTACCTGTGATGCCCAGTGCAGGACCTGGCCCAGGAGAGGCAGGACCCCCTGGCTGCCACTAGAGGGCACTGTGGCTCCAGTGGTCCAGCAGACAAGAGTTCAGCCAGGGCCAGGGTCAGGGCCAAGGACTGCGTGTGATTCCAGAATTTGTCAGAAAAGCCGACTCACCCCCCTGCTGCTCTCACCAGCTGTGGGCCCTCAGGCACCTGACCTCCCACCATCAACCCCTGGAAAACGGAAAGCCCTCGCACTGCCTGGCGGTGTCCATGGTGCGGGTGGAGGGGCGAGTGGGAAGGGGTTGGGCTCGCACGGTGCACAAGACAGGGGACAGCTTAGCGAACACAGGGCTGACCGGTGGGTCCTTTCCATGTTCACCTCTCCCACGCCCTCCCTGTGAGGTGTGCCTTGCTACAGCCCCCGTTTTACAGATGGAGGCCCGAGGGGTGGGGCCTGACCCCAGGTCACAGCTGCGGGCAGTGGGGCCGATTCTGCACTTGGCAGTGGCCTCAGAGGGTGCACAGGCCGAGTTGGACCCTGCAGGGTGGACCCTAGGCAGCAGCTGGCCATGGCCATTCCCGTCTTGAGAGGCAAACTCCCAACTCTGCTCTCAAGCCTCCTCCTTGCTTTGATGACCTGCGGAGCCTGTGGGTGCTTGGTGGGGGCCCCCGAGTTCCCAGCCTGCTCCTCTCCTCGGCCCAGACCGCTGCCAGCCAGAGGGAACTCAATCTGGGACTGGATTTCAGGGGGGGAGGTGCTGTGGGAGGAACTCCAACCCTCAGGGACCCCCCCAAGGTCCAGTTGTTGCCTTGACCTGCGCCCTGCCCAGCGATGACGCAGAGCAGGTGTGGGTGTGGGAGTACGAGACGGAGGAAGGGGCACACGACCTGTACATGGACACCGGCGAGGAGATCCGCTTCCGCGTGGTGGACGAGAGCTTTGTGGACACATCCCCCACCGGGCCCAGCGCCGCCGAGGCGGCCTCTGCCAGCGAGGAGCCCAGGAAGGAGGCCCCGTACACGCTCGTGGTGAGATGGCACGCGTGCTGCCGAGCCCCTGGGCTGTGGTGACTGGGTCCCGCTCCTGGAGCCCCTCCCACAGCACGTCAGAGGGCAGCCATGCCTCCCTGGGAGCTTGGGTCTCTGGCTGGAGCCGGAATCCTTGTGGGGAGGTGTAGGCCGGTGCGGTGGAGGGACAGCCAAGCCTGATGACAAGGCCACTGATAACAGACCCAGCCCGGGCCTGAGGCGACCGGGAAGCTGTGACCAGCCAGAGCCGACTTGGGTTCGTTTAGCCTTTTCCCTCGTGAGCTGGGAGACAGAAGTGGGTCTCGGGGCCTCCTGGGGTCATGTCAGCCCAGATCGCACACTTTGTGGGTCACAAGTCGGAAACCCAGGTGGCCAGGGCACCCCCCTAATGAACTTGGCTGCTGGGCTCAAGGTCCCCCGGCCTCCGGGCAGGAAGAGCAGGGGCTCGGGGGGCGCTCACCCGCAGGTGCTTCTGGCCGGGCCTTGGGCCTCAGTGTCCTCCAAACCCGCTTTCCTTACAGGCCGTAAGCTGGGCAGGAGGGGAGTCTGGCCGTGCGTGCCCACGTGCCAGCTGGGAGCGCTGGGCCTGCTGGGTACCCTGAACAAAGGGCTCCTTTTGTCTCCTGAATTGCTCAAGCCCCACAGGTAGCTGACGTGTGCCTGTTCTCTCCTCCCGGCAGGGATCCATTAGTGAGCCGGGCCTGGGCCTTCTCTCCTGGTGGACTAGCAGCTAGCCAGTGCCCGACGGTGGGCCAGCCCAGTCCGCAGGCCCAGTCCGGCACTACCCAGCCTCGGGAGGTGCCGGAAGCCAGCAGCAGCCGGATGCCGAGCAGCAGTCTGTGGTAGGGAGCTACCAGTGGCGCCAGGAGTGCCATCCTGGCTCCTCTTCCCGGAAGCCCCACTCTCAGCGACAGACTTTATTGAATAAACAATGGCAACATCAGTTGAGGAGTCACCTGTCTCACTGGCTGTGTCACGACCTAAGGTTGAGTTGCCACAGCTGGGACAGCATGTCCTTCCTCTCTTCAGACCACGTGTGGAGGCGGACCCCCACAAATGGCGGATGGGGGGCTGAGCACCAGGCTGCCTCAGGCCAGGCTCTGGCTGGTTGAGCTTGGTGGCTCCGTAAGGTAATACGGGGAGAGGTGGGCCTGGGGCAGCTGCCCTGGGCCATGGAGCTGTCAGTTGCTGGGAAGAGAGAGGATTAAAGGACAAGCACCTTCCTTCCCACTAACATTCGTAAGATGGCGGCCATGGGCCTGGCGGGCTCAGAGTGAGGACTGGTGACCCACTGTGCCATCCCCTCCCTCCCATCAGTATAGAGGACACGTGGGGACAGCCGTCACTCAGACCATGGCCACCACAGGAACACCCTGTGGGTCTGCGAGGACCCTCGGATCCTGGCCTGAGGGCAGGTACCGTTGTTTATTCAGAATGGTTCTGCCACATTCACCCACTTCTACTGGGACCAGGACACTGGTTTTGTGGTAAAACTAGGTGGGCCCCTGCCCTTGCCCTTTTGGCCCACACGGCACCAGAAGTGTGGGCAGTGCCAGCAGGTGTGGCTCCAGGGGGAGGAGCAGCTGTGGAATAGGTGCCTGCCACTGCCTCCTGCTGCGGGCCACCAGTGAGCTGTGACACCATGGACGAGCTGTGACCTTGGGCAGCGTGGCCTGTGCCCACTGGTGTTTGGAGGACGGAATGCCCAGCGGAAGGGGAGGCAGCGGAAGGAGTCTGGCACGGGCCCACCTGGGAAGGAGGGAGGAGGGGGAGTCTGCTGGCTCTCGCTGCTTCGCTGCAGTGACCGGTCCAGCTGTGGCCGATTAGTGAGGGCCTCCACCAACTGGTGAAAAGAGCCCCCAAACCCGGGGGTGGTAACAGCACAGACACCATCACTCACACGGGAACAGTCACTGAATGGATTCTTATTTTCCTTGCAAGATTAAAAGGTTCTTTAAATCCGTCAGCCACCAGTGAAATGATCAGACAGGAGTGAACTTTAGATGGGAGTCTTGTCGTTAAAATAAATACAGCTGCACGGAGGTGCTCAGGCCTGAACCGAACTAAACTGGGAGGGCAGGTTAGAACCCGCCAACCACTGGCCGCCCCGCGGGCTGAGGGCGGCGGGCAGGCGGCGGGCCGAGCCTCCTCAGTGCAGGCAGCCGGGGTCGGGCTGGGTCCGGGCCTGGTGACATGCAGCGCTCCGGTGGCTGGAGCTGGGCTGGGTCCGGGCCTGGTGACACGCAGCGCTCCGGTGGCTGGAGCTGGGCTGGGGCGGGCGGGTTACTGCTGCAGCTCCTTCATCCTGTTGAGGGCGCTGCCAGCGCGGAACCACTCGATCTGGCCCTCGTTGAAGGTGTGGTTCAGGAGGATGGTCTCCTGGGTGCCATTGGGGTGCTTGATGATGCATGTCAGCGGCTGCAAGAGAGGCAGCGTGTGGGTGGAGTGGCTCTTAGGAACACGGCCCGGGTTCTGCTAGGGGGTCAGGGTACTGCCTGGGGCCTTGGGTGCCAGCAGGTGAACCCAGTCCTAGGCCAGTGGTAAGACCAGAATAAAGGAACTCCTGAGGCCAAGTGGGCCCTGCTGGGCATGAGCTGCTGGCCTCTGAGTGCCAAGCCTGGGCTAATGAGTGAACAGCAGGAGGTCCTGAGCTGGTTCCCTCATTTCTGGGGAGGCACTGCCCTCACTGGGGGTTGCCTGGAGAACTTAAGGGCCCTTCCAGCTGGAACAAAGGCTCATGGGAAGAGGGGCAGGTGGGGCAGGTGCAGGAAGGGAAGCAGGGTGGCTGCACTGTGCCCCCCTCAGGAGGACCCTTGGGGAGATGGGATGGCCAGCCTGCCCCCTTCCCTGGCCCCCTGACCTTGCCGGGGGCAAAGTCCTTCAGGCCCTGGATGGTCAGCTTGTCCACGGGGTGAATCTTGTTGTAGTCGGCGGGGTCAGCGAAGGTGAGGGGCAGCAGGCCCTGCTTCTTCAGGTTGGTTTCTGGAAGGCAGGAAGCACGTTCAGCCCAGTGGGCAGGGCCTGTCGCCCTTCTCTGTGCAGGACCCTCTCCGGCCAGAGAGCTCCTTTTCTAAGTGCAGGGAGGGCTCCGGGAGACGCCCTAGCCCTGCCACTGGGGGCAAACCTGGGCCAGTGACTACAAGGCCCAGGTCGGCTGCACTCCTGCGATGCGCTGCCTCTTGGTAGGGTCCTCCAGGGCGCGGGTGCTGTGTCTGCAACGCCTTCCTGACAGACACTCACCAGCACACACCCTGCTGACAGTGTGGCCTGGATGACACCTGTTTGCGACAAGTCAGGAAGCAAGACCAGTGCTTGCCAAAGACCGGAAGCTGTGGGTGTGAGACTCAACACGAATCTGAAGGGGCAGAGGCTGGGGGTGTGGAAAACGGGAGCCTCGGGCACAGCCTGGAAACCAGGCACACGGCTCCAGACCCAACAGCCGCGGTGCCTTGGGCTGCCAGTGAGGACCCGGAGCGGGGGGCCTGGGCCTGGCTCCGCTCACCGTGGATCCTGGCGAAGCTCTTGGTGATGATGGCCCGGCCCCCGAGGTGGCGGGGCTCGAGCGCCGCGTGCTCCCGGCTTGAGCCCTCGCCGTAGTTCTCGTCTCCGATCACCACCCACCGGATGCCGTGTTTCTGTCAGGGAGGGAGGATGAGGAGGAGGACTGGCCTGCCCACCTGCCTCTGGGCTTCCTGAAGGTCACAGGTCACGGGAGGGAGAGGCCCCTCCTCGCCTGCTCCCCAAGGACAGGAAGTCAGAGTGAACATAGTGGGCAAGGGGAGGTGCGGCCCACACGGTGCCCGGCACAGGCAGGCTGGGCGGAGGCCGCGGTGTGGAGCAGAGCCTGGAGCAGTGGTGGTCCGTGCAGGTGACATACGTGGACCTGCCTCCATGGCACTGGACATCGATCGTTAGCCCACACAGAGCTCCTGGTGTGGGCTCCTAGATGGAGAGCACCCCTCCCCGCACCACCCACTCTGCCCACCCGGCCACCAGGAGGTGCCAGGGGACCCCACTCCCGTTCCCACCGACGGACCCACCTTATAGTAGCGGGCAGTGTCGGGGACAGGGCCAAACTCCTGGGTGACGGCATTGCGCACAGAGTTGGCCTTGCCGTTTTCAATGTTGATGGCACCAATGAGCAAGTTGTTGGAGATGTTGTCCAGGTGCCCACGGAACTTGAGCCAGGGGCCGGCAGCCGAGATGTGGTCAGTGGTACACTTTCCTTTGACCTTGGGAGGGTGGGCAGAGAGGACAGATTGGTGCATGGCCGTTGGCAGAAGCCCTCTGGAGGCAGGCAGCAGGCCCAGAGACTGAACAGGTGCAGGATGTGTGGCCTGCAGCCCTGGCATGGTCACCGGTGGGCAAAAGGGCTCAGGCCAGGCCCCTCTCAGAGCTTGGGAGTGAGATCTGGAATGGACACGCAAAGGGGGCAGAGGCTAGTCGGGGCAGCCAGGCAGGTCTGCTCGCTCGCCCTTCAGGCCCAGCCCCCATAGAGCAGCCCAGGCTCACTGCTGCCTGTGTCGCTGCGTGGAGGCTCCTGAGTGAACAGCATCAGTTCCTGTCCGCCCTGGGCGAGGCCTCGGCCTGCACCCAGAGGCTTGTGTTCGCTCAGCTCCCGGGCACAGGCCACACCGCGAATGCCCAGCTTTGGGAGCAGAGCAATCAATGGCTCCACTGAGGGGTGGAGACCTGCGTGCTGGGTCACACATGCCTTTCTTGCCCTCCCTGTGGGGCATCCACTGCCCGTACCCACTGGGGGTGGCCCTCACTGGCAGCACCCAGATGGCTGAGCCCGGACAGCGGCTGCCAGATCCAGCTCTGCCCGGCCCGGGGCAGCGAAGGGACACTGGGCTGCAGATGCCCTTGCTCCTCTGCAGCCACACCCCTTCCCGCCCCCACCTTAGCCTTGCCCTCCCCCCGGCCCAGGGGAGCACGTGGTTTCAGGCTGTCCTGCCGGGCAGGGAAGGTGCCAGGCAGGCTGGGGCTGCTCTCGTCCCCACGCTGCTGACCTTGATAAGGATCTGAAGGTCCTCCAGGTCTTTGCCATCCCATTTGTCAAAAGGATCCAGGAGCTGCAGACGCTGGCTGGTGGGGCTCACGTCCACGCGCTGCCCGCTGCCATCCTTGGGAGGGTGCTGGTAGGTGTCCTGCCCAGGGTCGAAATTCTGTGGAGGGACAGGGACATGGGCATGGAGTCCTCAGTCCCTGTGCCTAAAGCCCTTCCCTCCAGTGAACACAGCGGCTTCACGGTCACTAACGGTCCCGCCGTGCCTGCCCAGGGCCAGATGCTGGGAAGGCAGTGGAGTGGCCGGGCCTGCGGGACTGAGCACAGGGCAGTGCCCGCTCACCGTCTTTGGAAGCTCATCCGCGTTCGGGGGCTCCAGCTTGAACTTCTTGCCATCCTTGCCTGTCAGGAAGTCAGTCTCTGGGTTGAACTTGAGGGTGCCAGCAATGGCCAGGGCTGTGACAATCTGAAAGAGGCGGCCAGCTTGGTTAGCACTGAACGCCACTCCGGTCCCCCACCTCCAGCCAAAGCCTAGATCAAAACGGAGCCCAGCCCAGGAAATTCCACGTCTCTGCAGGGCTGGAGCTGCAGGAATAGCTCTGGGACCACCAGCCGTCGGGTCTGCAGAGGATTTGAACCCAGGGCAGTCTGGCCTCGACTACTCCCCACTGGGGTCTGGACCTCAGTGTCCTCAGGGCAGGGCCAGCACTGCTGGGTACACTCTCTTCTCCCAGGTGTGCCACCTGGGCAGGAAGAGGCCCTGCTGTGATAAAAATGTCCCTAAGCAGAGCCCTGGCCAGTTTGGCCCAGTGGATAGTGTTAGCCTGTGCACTGAAGGGTCCTGGGTTCAATTTCAATGAAGGGCACATGCCCAGATTATGGGCTCCATCCCCCGTATGGGACATGGAAGAGGCAGCCAATCATTGACTCTCTCTCATCAATGTTTTTATCTCTCCCTCTCCCCTTCTCCCTGGAATCAACAAAAAAATATTTTTTTAAATCCTATATAATAAAAGGCTAATATGCAAATCAACCAAACGGTGGACCAACTGGTCCTATGACGCGCACTGACCACCAGGGGGAGTGCCGCACCAGAAGCCGGGCTCAAGGTTGGAGAGCGCAGCGGCTGGGGGGAGCTCTCCCACCTCCACAGCATCGCTAAGGGTGTGTGCTGCTCCCAGCCTGAGAGGGTGCAGCTGGGCTGCGGGATCCCCCAGCTCCCATCCATTGAATTTCATGTATATATGTGCTGGGCCAGGGTTGTTTATATATAAAAAATGTCCCTAAGTACGCAGCACACTGGAAACATGGAAGGCCATCTTGGCACTCATTTTTAGTAAAAAAACAAAACAAAAAAAAAACAAAACCAAAAAAAACCCCCAACAAAGTATTTCTCAAGTACTTATCTAAAAAAATCAAATCAAGGACTGGCTGGCCTGGCCAGCATGGCTCAGTGGTTGAGCGTTGACCTATGAACCAGGAGGTCATGAGTTCAATTCCCAGTCAGGGCACATGCCTACTTTGCATGCTTGGTCTCCAGTGTGGGACTTACAGGAGGCAGCCCATCAATGATTTTCTCTCATCACTGTTGTTTCTCTCTCTCCCTTCCTCTCTGAAATAAGTTAGATAAACAGATAGAGAGGACTGGCTGTGTGCTGAACCCCCACCGAGTGCCTGGAGCACAGGGCTCACTCCATGTCCATCCTCACGAGGAGGCCTTGTCCGCTGACGGTGCTCGTGCTCTCCGTGTTGCTCATGAAATCCTGACAGGATCCGGGGCACAGAGCAGAGGCCTGGCCAAGCCAGGACGGCTGGGTGGGCATCTGTCCCGGTGCTAATTCCGAAGCTCCCGCTCGTGCTCACAGCTGTACTCAACAAGCACCCGACTCCCGGGACGTGAGGGGGCCAAGCAGCGGCACCATGGGAGCACGGCGCTTGGTGCTGGCAAGGCCTGTGACCTTGGTTTCTGCTCCCATAACCCCTTG